ACAACGAGGCGTCTCCCCCTATATCCGGTCAGCTTATGTCCTGGATGAGAGTTTTTAGAACCCTCGTCAAAGGTCTCGCATATATTACCCTTTCTCCTTAGAGCAAAGTCCTTTGGTACCCTTGGTTGGTCCCCTTCCCTACATTCGTTCTCTTGGTTGCATTCAATCCTGACCTCCACCTCTCGCTTGCAATGGTCTCTCACTCGTGTGGACTAGAGTCAGGGAGGAAATAGACTTAGAACATGGTCCCTTCTCACCCACTGGTCACATTCAAATTTACTGAGGAGGTTACAAAACATAAAATCAAGCAAACTCCCATACCGACCGCTCATCTCCTAACCGGTATTTCCACTGGAATAGTTCATCCACGTCGCCCTAGGAATGATGATTTCACTCAACGCTCAACTGTCGCGACCGCGGTATCCAAGCTTCGGCACAGGGCATTACCCCTCTCCGCTTGCCCAAAATACCGCATCCCTTCTCGTGGTCCTTGCACATCCATAGATGGTACCAGGGATCACCCCGCATGCCACCCTAGAGGTCAAAGTCTGCAATCTAGGCATTCACATTCGTTGCTCCGTCCAGAATTCGCCCTTCCCTCCCAGGCTCAGGAGGCCACTGATCGACTCCTCAATTCCTTCCCCTTATCCTAGACTCGACGACCCTTCCGTTCCGCGGATAATAGCCTTCCCCCTCCAAGCTGACTTTTCACATCTCGCCGGGCAAGGTTCCGAGTGTTGCTCGCCCCTTCCTGACGTGGATTCTACTCGCCATCTCGTTGAAGCAGACTCCCACTAACAGCACAGAAGACTATCCTTCACAACCTCGAACAGGGGTCCATCCTTAAAAGGCGTCCTTTCGCAACCTTCCTCAACAAGTTCGGACTTCCTTCCTTCCTTTCCGCAAGCAGGACACTCAAAACCCTCTTGCAGGCAATCACAAATCCCAAGCGAGACCCAAATTAACAAGTGGCTTTCCCCTGGTGGTCCGGTGCATCTTACCCTGGCCTCACAATTTTCTCCTGGAACAGTGTGTGTCACTCCCCTCATCCTTCTATACATAGTTTTCTTAGGATTCTAGCAACTCCCTTCGTTCCCTTTCTCTTTTCTAGCAACTCTCTTCATTCCCTTTCTCTTTTCTAGCAACTCCCTTCATTCCCTTTCTCTTCTTTCGTCTATCCATTATAGGATAGGATTGTACGTTTTTTATGATCATTTTGTTCATATGAGGTTCCTTCAAACCATTCAAGTGATAGTGCAGCACACCCTTTTTGATTCAGGGTTCCAAAAAAATCAGACCAAAAACACCTGCTAGGCTGGATCACTCTGACCTCATGTCCCTCTAACTTCCTCTGGCATAATCACTTGTGCAGGTCATTACAGGGCGCCCATCCTCCATCCACGTCGGCAATAAGTATGGAGGATGGCGCTGCACTTCCTCACCTTTGTGGAGACCAGCAACAGATCACACATGACGTCGCCAGGTACGTCCAGGTTAGCTTCCTGACATTTCCCGTCAGTCTCATAGCCCCGATCCTCCTCCTCCTCGCCAATCCTCATCATCTAGTCTATGTCTATGCGGCTATGGTCACACCAACATAATCTCCCTCTAGGCTGGCGCCCTCCAACAGTATCTGGTGCCAGCATCCAACTCCAGCAGCCTCGTGACACAGCACTAGCGTCAAACCAGTGCAAGGTCGAATGCCTCCCCGAGTGTCTGACCATCCTTTCGTAGCATTGACTGGCATTGACTGGCGTGGACCAGTCTCCCCTTTGACACTGTCGACGCTCCAGATTTTCCGGATCTCGACGGCCTGGTTGCAGCCTTAAAGTAGTGGTATCTTTTCCCAGTAGGGACTGGAATCTTCCAGATATCTGCAGACAACCATTGATGTGCATTTGATCAATGGTTGAGGCTGACTATTGGGTTTACTTTGACTTTGGGCCTGAATTCGCGTGCTTGGTCTGACTCTTGATTTTCCAAGAGTCAACTACCTCATGTGGGGGCTCTGGACGCTGTTTTTGACCCAGGCCCTGATACCCCTTGACCTTAGGCCCTTTACTAGGCATTTCTCAGACTTGGGACGTGACCTTTGACCCCTGTTTCTGGCCTTTTGACCAAAAGAGACGACCCAGGCCTGCGACAATGTGGATCTGAACTGAGTTTATTGCATTCCATCCGCTCGATTTCCAGTTCCACCGTAGAAATTTATCCTTTCAGGAACAGTTTTCTCTCAACCTACGTTCATATCCAGCGATTATATCAGGTGCGGTTGGTAGGACTTCTCTTTTGCTGGACCATTTTTTCTGATTCTGGTTGATCACTGAACTTTACCTTATGGTAGAGAAGAAGCCATGATCAAGGATCCTTTCAACTTGATACTCGCCATCCATTGAAGGTGGAACAACGATGGTCTGCTGGGAAAATCTTGGCCTTCAATGTAGGGTAGCAGCTTAGACGGTTGGAAAACGGGATAAGTCCCGAGATGAGGGGGCACACTTATCCTATTTTATGGTTCATCTGTGTCCCCTATAACTTTAAGAACTTCCCATGGCCCGTAGTAGGCAGGTAACACTTTTTGTGCGATTCCTTCTTTGAGTGTGAATTCATTAGACTGGACCAACACTAGATCCTACACGTGGCCTGGCATGAAGCTTGATTGCATCACCTATGTCCAAGGCTGCCAAGTGTGTTAGAGGAACAAGAGTTCCCCGCAGCCTCCCCTTGGAATATTGAAGGCCTTGCCTATCCCATCTGGCCCCGATGAATCTGTATCTATAGATTTCATGGATATGAAAGTCAAGAGTAGTAGTGGCAAGAGTCAAGTCATTGTCGTATTCGACAGGTTTAGTAAATTTGTCGTTTTTGCAAAGACAGATCTGGTCATCAAAGAGTTCCTTAACCACGGGTTCAAGGATTATGGTCACCCCTTCAGTATAGCTAGTGATCGAGATACCCGGTTCACAGAGGAACAGTGGCAGCAGTTAATGAAGGTCTACGGGTGTAAGTTAGCTATGTCATCTAGACGCCACCCTGAGACTAATGGCCAGACCGGGCAGATGAATAAGATCCTAGAGCAAGTACTGCGTATGTATATTAGACCAGACCAGGTAGATTGGGACGAGCGTCTTCCCGAAGTAGCTAGTGCGTATAATAACTCTGTTCACCTAGCTACTTTGCGAACACCAAATGAGCTGCATAGAGGCTGGAGTCCCCGACATCCCATAGACTGCTTGAATCCAAATCAGGTCCAGAGACTGCCACCTGGCACACGTGAGTTCCCCATTCAATATGAGAAGGATCTGCATCACGTAGCTGAGAACATCCGGAAGGCCCAGCATCAGATGATGGAACAAGCAAACAAGCAATGTCGTCCTTCATAGTTTGTGGTAGGTGATCTTGTCTGGGTCAAGTCTAAGGAGTTTGTTCCCGAGGAAGGGATCTCACAAAAGTTGCTATCTTCCTACAGAGGGTCGTGGCAAGTACTAGATGTCAAAGGTGGCGCAGATGGACTCTCATACGCCATCGAGATTCCCCTCCATCTGCACACCAACCCTGTGTGACTAACAAAATTTTCCTCACGTAGATCCATGATTCCAACTGATACGGATGGAAGATATGATGTAGAAAAGATTGTAGCTGAGGATATTTTCCGAACAGGTCCTAGGGGGAGAACACAAAGACAGTACAAAGTTAGATTTGCTTATCAGGACCCCAGGGAAGACCGCTGGTTCGCGAGTTAGTTGAGACAGCCCCTCATATAGTGTTATACTATGAGCGGGCACGCAGATGATTGAACACCTATGACCACTAGAGTCGGACGTCGAATTTAGGCCAGCGGGAGGGAATGAATCCATGCCGCAAACTTTCCCAGTCCCAGGCTATCCCACTAGAGTAGGTCCTAGGGTCTGTAGGATGAGGTCGTAGGTCGGTTGGCTACAGTACCTGCAAGCATGTCAAGGCCCCAAAGTTCAATTTCGCAGCAGCCTCCGAAAGAAAGTTGGGAACTTTCCCAAATGGCAATTTGGCAAGGCAGAGGCCTTAGGAGGCTGGTACCGATTGAATCAGGCACGAACAGTCCACTGCAACTATATATTTTGGACGACCGACCCGAAGCAGGAAGTAGGAAGCATTGCTGGAGCTTGTGTGATCGCGCGTCCTGGCCGAAGAACCTGGCGAAGTAGGAAGAGGAAGCCAGCACCCTGGCGACTACAGTCGACCATAGCCAGGCGACCAGGGAGAAGAAGACGGCGGCCATAGCCGCCCAAGATCAGCAAGGCACACCACAGAGGCATTCAGGGTAGGTATAGGACATCGGGGGAGGAACAGTGCAGAGGGAGGGGGGGGGGGGGGG